ATGCTTCTTTATTTGTCATTTAGCACATGGTGATGGATCAATTAGCCAGGAGTCAACAGTCCTAATACACAGTCGATGTTTGGCTGCCTGCAGTTGCTCCTTTGTTCTGTTCACGCTCACCCGCTCATCCAGCGTGCACCGCAGGGGGCAAACCAGCTCCTCACACATCCAGACCAGCTGGCGTTTGGGTCGTTGGCTCCTCTGGGCTTCTTCTGCCAGTTGCGCCTCACCTCACGTCTGGGCAGGTCCAGTGCCGGCTCCTGCTCTCCTCACGAACGCAGCCATCCTTTCCCCCCAGAGCAGTACCCATTTATCTACTTGAACTATTGCAAGGTTTTGGACTACTGGGTGGGCAGCAGCTAGAGGCAAATGATGGGTGTTCATTCCATCATGCAGTGCTGGGCTCGAGCCACTGGAGTGTTGGCCACTTCTGGTCAGCACATCCGGCGTCATTAAGCTGCTGTGCCACTGAGCCTCCTGTATTTTCAATGTATTTTATCATGTTGTAAGCCGCCCCGAGGTTTCGGCAAGGGGCGGCATAGAAATGTTATAATCATCATCATCATCATCATCATCATCATCATCATCATCATCTTACACTGAGTGTCCAGTGATGTGGGAAAGACTTAGTCAAACTCTTTTCATAAGCCAGTGTTTGCTGTACTACAGAAAGCTTGTGTTTGGGGTGCAAAAAATGATCTCACAGATGAACATTGCTAATATTAAAAATTACGCATGTGTTTGTTCCCAGTTCATGTGATTTTGAGTTGTTCTTGCTATCTTGGGTTCAAAAATATGTTTTTTTATTTTTTTAACTGAACATAAAAATGCGTGATATTTGTAGATTCTGAAAAGTCATGGAAAATGCTTCAAAACAAACATCTCCCCTTATGTATGGTGCATTTTCTGGATCCAGATGTTTTGGTATTATTAAACACAATTAATCAAGAAGGAAAAATAAAAACAAAGGCAATATCATGTCACATTTTATGCTCTGCAACTTTTTAGAATTCAGGTTAGGGTCTAAAATGCACGGGAGGTTTTTCTATGCACTCTGTGAAGTAGGAAGGATATATATATATGCGTGCACGGAAGATAATCCCAGTAAACAGATGTGGCAGTTGTGGTGTCAACTTTATTAGACTATTTTCTCTCTGTTCCTTTAAATGATTGTGTAGCACAGCCGTTGTGTCAAATAAAAGACAAATTTTGCAAGTACTATGCAGAGAGCTGCTTCAGTCTTCACGTGTGCGTAAATGCACATGAGTGTATTGCCAGACCCAGTTTGCTATTAAATAGAAGCCTCTCCTGTGGATGTTGGGCCCCTCTGATCCCATACGACAGATTGTTCTCATGTTCTTATTTTCAAAAAGGGTAGTAGAAAGGACATGGGGAATTACAGACCGGTTAGCCTTACGTCCATTGTAGCAAAACAATGGAAAGGCTCATAATAGAGAGAGATCTAGTGATGCTAGATAGGGAAGGGAGGCTGACAGCCACACAACACGGCTTCCGCAAAAACAGGTCCTGCCAGAGAAACCTTGTGGAATTCTATGACAAGGTTTCAAGATGGCTAGATGGAGGGGGTGCAGTGGATGTGGTATACCTGGATTTCAGCAAGGCCTTAGACGAAGTGCCCCATGATATCCTGGTGGAGAAACTGAGGAGTTTTGGGATACACCAAAGCACTGTCCGGTGGATTAGGGCATGGTTGACTGACCGAAAGCAGAAGGTAACCATTAGTGGGGAATCATCGGGATGGCGGCCAGTGACAAGCGGGGTCCCCCAGGGCTCTGTCCTGGGGCAGATCCTGTTTAATCTTTTCATTAATGACATGGAAGAAGCGGTGAAGAGTCTGCTGGTGATACTAAAACTGGGGCAGTGGCCACAAGTGAGGGGCAGGTACTCCGGATCCAGAAGGATCTGGACAGACTATGGAAGTGGGCAGGAGACAACACGATGGCGTTCAATGTGGATGAGTGCAAGATCTTGCACTTGGGGCATAGGAATAGCTGTCATAAGTACAGGTTAGGGGACAAGTGGCTGGAGAGCAGCACCTGTGAAAAGGACCTCGGGGTGCTGGTGGACTGCAGGCTAAACATGAGTCAGCAGTGTGATGCTGTGGTCAAGAGGGTGAACGCCACCCTTGGTTGCATAGCCAGAAGTGTGGCTTCTAGACCAAGAGACGTATTGCTACCACTCTATACAACTCTGGTGCACCTGCAAGTGGAGTATTGTGTTCAGTTTTGGGCCCCTCATTACAGGAAGGGTATAGCCAGGTTGGAGTCAGTGCAGCGTAGGGCCACAAGGCTGGTGGCCGGTTTGCAGGGGATGGGGTATGAGGCGAGACTGAGGGAACTGGGTCTCTTCAGCCTGGAGAAGAGGAGACTCAGAGGGGATCTGTTGGTGACATATAGGTATGTGAGGAGGTGTCACACGGAGGTGGATAGAGACCTGTTCTCCCCTGCAGAGGAGGGCGAGATGCGCTCCAATGGAGCAAAGCTCAGGGAACCAGGGTTCAATTTAGGTGCTGGGAAGTACGTCCTTACATTCGGACCCCAGTGGGCTTCTATGGGAGGTGGTTAAGGCCCCATCAGTGAGGGTGTTCAAAGATAGGCTAGACACGCACATGGTGGGCATGTCATGAGCGGAGCTGGCTAGAGCCTGGGGTCAGACTAGATGGCCCGGGAGACCCCTTCTGACTTGCTCTGTTTCTCTTTATTAGCACTTACTTTGCACTTGAAGGTAGTATTGGGGAGCTTGAATTTTTGTAGGCTGTTTGTGCACTGTAAAGATAGGAAATAAAACCTTTGTGCCATGGAGTATGGGATATTTTATTGTTTTTTAATTCCTTTTGTGAACCATCCAGGCTGCTTTGGCTGTGGGCATTATAGAAATGTACATAGTAATAATAATAAGTAAAGAATTAAGCAGAGCTGCATTCATGTCCCTGCATCTTCCCCATGCAGCTTTCTTTCACTGTGTGGATGTAGCACATTTTGGAACATGGCTTTATTCATTTGAAATGTAAATTAATTAAGCAGTACTTCTTACTCATCATTTGGGAGCTAGCGGAGAAACCAAACTTGTCCTTGCACAGGAGAAACATTTGTAGAATCCTGGAGGTAAAGTAAGCAATTAATGGCGGATTGATTGAAGCATTTGTGGCTTGAAGCATTCCAACTCTGGTATTTCCCTTTCTGGTACATAAATCTTCTCCCACCCTATTTCTGCAAACAAACACAGATTAGCTTGTTTTGTAGCAGATTCTGTATTTCTTGGTAACACAGGTCTTCCTTTGGTGTGTGCAGTTGTGTTTGGACATTCATTGACTCAAAATGACACTCAGGAGCACCTGTGCACAAGCTTGCTTTGTCTCTTACTGCTTTTCTCGTGCAAGTTGATGGTGTGCCATCAGCTTGTCTCTGCTGACTTATGGCAACTCTATGAATGAACGTTCTGCAAAATGTCCTGTCCTTGACAGTTCTGCTGCGGATCTGGCTTTCTTTATGGAATCAACCCATCTCACCCTAGATCTTGCTACTCTTCCGCCTTCAGCTTTCGCTAGCCTAATTGTCTTCCCCATTGAGTCTTGCCTCCCCTTGATATACCCAACAGATGATCATCTATAAGCCCTAAATTGAGTGCAGAACCTCAGGCCAGGACTGGGGCTTTGGCCATCTGGGGGCCCCAATCTAGCAGTCAGGATTCTGGTTGACTGCTAGATTCATGGTTGTGTCCCTTTCCTTGGCCCCACTTCCCCCCTGACCACTGCTTGGAGCTCTTCTAGGTTTTGTGCAGTTCTTTGTGCTCTAATGGGGAAAAAAGCATCGGAACGCCTCTCTCAGGACTGAGTAGCAGTACGATCTTTAAGCTCCAGTCTCCTGGCTTTACTCCTCCTGCCCCATTTGCCTTTGGTTGCACCCACCATTACATTGCAGCAACTCCAGAGCCCCTTTGGAATGAACACTTCTGACTTAAATGGTCCACACTTGGGAAGCCATCTCCCTCCCCTGTTCTGCCGTCAGCTTTAAGATGAACTAGAAACAGAGTCTTAAGTGTACCATCTAACACAGCCTTCTCAGCCCTACAGATACATCAGCCTACAGCCAGTGGTTGAGATTATAGGAGTCGTCATCCGAACTCCTCTAGGGTGGGGAAGAGTAATCTGGCATCAGATTAGGTCCACAAGATTACCCAGTGGTGTTCCCAGTGATTGTCCCTTGAACAGAATTCTCTTTCCCAGGTGGTTTGCCAAAACAAAAGCCTGCACATCTTTAGGATACACTTTTGTTCAAGCTGGAATTAGAGTAAAACAATTGGCACATTTTTTATACAAGAAGGGGACGGGGACGGCAGAGGATGAGGTGGCTGGATGGAGTCACTGAAGAAGTTGGCTCAGCGTGAGCTTAAGTGGACTCGGGGGGATGGTGGAAGACAGGAAGGCCTGGAGGAATGTTGTCCATGGGGTCGCGATGAGTTGGACATGACTTCGCGACTAACATAACATAACATAACAGTGCCCAAGGATCTTGCTCTATTGGACGTTATAAAAATGTAACAAACACACAAAAATATATCTTTTGTGTGGGTGTGAGTGAGAGAGAGAGACAGAGGCAGAGAGGGGGGGGGATAATAGTTCTGGACTAGGTCTGATTACATAATAGTTCTGTGGACACGATTCCACAGAACTTTACTTTTTCCTGGCAGTGCAACTGATGATTTGCCCAAGGTTACATCTGTGTGCATTCCACAGCATTCCAACATGACCATGCATGTTGATAGGTTGGCTGCTAGTTTAAACATTCAGGAGTTTTCCCCTGGAAACCTAGGGTGGGGGAAATTATTATAGTTCACTAATAATAGAAATGAAAAATGTATGTGTGTGCACACATGCAAAAACAAAACGTGTAACAAGAGGAAGGTACATTTCTGAAAATTTGCACGAGCTTCTGGTATCACCATTGTAAATAGAAGTTCTCTGTTTCATTGTTTTCTAGTTTTAGCAATTTATTTGCACAGCTCCTGGTGGCTTGTTGAAGATGCAGTGAAAACAGCCGACCCTTCCCGAGATGGTCTAATAGAGGTGAAGATGCTACTTTAAGCTATTTATCCCTGCCTGCCAGTGAATCTCAAGGACTGTGTGCTGGTGACACCTTGAGCCAAAAAGAACAGCCCTTCTAGAAATACGTATGGAATGAATAATGTAAAAAATAAGCAGAGATGTTACTTGATTTGTATAATGCTTTTATACGAAATATTTAGGTTTCAGAAAAAGTGTGATGTTGCAGATTGGGGAGGGGTTGTGAGAGGAACAAAAATGTTCTCTCTTTTGAAATCTCAATTGACAAGATGCAGTTGTGAGTTTTCATTACACACTGCTATTACTAGGCACTTAAAAGATTCCAGGCAACTATTCTGCCTGTCTTAGTAGATATCCTTATATATACAACTTCAGAAATGATTACTAGAATGGATTTAAATTTCACAGATGTCAGAGCCAGCCCCTAATTTCTCCTTCAATGAAAGATCATTTCAAATAATTTGCATCCTGATCCAGATCATCCCCAACAATGGACCAAGTTGTTATCCCAGTTTAATTACCCAGTAGAATGAATGGGTGGTTGGGGGAGCTACTCTGGCACACGGAAAGCACAGGGGTTACTCTCCCATCCTCTGTTGCACTCTGCATTGAAATCACTCCCAGCCCCAGCAAGGCAATTCAGCTGAGAAGCAACCCTTCCTTGGCTCCAGGAGGCGTTCCAGGGTTCCTGGGATGGTGGAGGGCTCTGGGGCATAGATGGTCCAGTGAACCCACACGTAGTGATGCCCCTGTGTGGGAGGCCTGCCTTTGTTTGGACCCTTGGGGCCTCATGTGGCTAGCGCAACCAGGTCATCCAGTGGTGCTTGGGAGAGCCTTTCTGTCTGGGTGGTTGCAGCCATTCTGGAGAAAAGGCCCAGGCATCACTTTGGGGAGTTCTCTTCCCCCAACTTAGAAAGAAACAGGGAAACTGTGGGCAGTGGGCAGAGCGAGCCTCTCCTGTCCCACAGCTGTTGCTGTGCTGAAAACTGGGTCCATCTGTGGTTTCTCATGGACCTCCTGGTGTCTGTCAAAGATGGAGCAGGTTTGGGGGGAGCCCCGCCCTATCCCAGCAGAGGGAAAAGGCCAGAAGGGCTGCTCCTGAGACTGCGGGAAGCACCCTCCAGATTGGACAGTAGCCCTGTTCGTGGTGAACTGGATCTGTATCTTTTTGGGACACCAAGACATATCAGGTTAATTAGAATTTCGGAAGCAGAAGAGAAGGCCACTTTCATATTTTCTGTTTCTTGCCCAAGGATGCTCTTAACTCTCAGCCTTTGTGAGCAAAGTTGATTCATCTACCACCACTGATGAAAGGGTACAGATACAACTTTCATTCGTTTGCATTTCAGTGTGAGAAGCCCACTTTTACTTGATTCCATACAGTGTCGCATGAACATTGCCACACATCAGCCACACAGCTCATGGTTCAAAGGGTGGTCAGAAGGAATATGATGCCGTGAGTCTTAAACTGAAGCAGATGTAGCTGAGGGCAGGGCCTACACTGGAAACAGGTGCAAGTGCAAAACGGACAGGTGATAGAGCAGGTCCTAAATCCCCTGGCATATTTTTAGCCTTAAAACCATGGAACTTGGGGCAGTGGCGCTGAAAGTGCCCCAAGGGAGCTGGACTGTCTCAGTTTGTGTCATTTCCCCAGTGGGGAAATTGGGAGAAAAGGCCCTCTTTATTCTTGCCTTTGGGAAAGATGTAACTTGTGGAAAAGTTTATCCCGATCCTTCCTTCAGTTCCAAAAGCGGGATCCTGGTTACAAAAAGTTACAAAAAGGATGCCATGAGACGTGTTCCTGGATGTGCTGCATCACTATAGCTTTGCTGCTCCTGAGCTGATTTGGCCAAGAAGGAAGACTGGGGTCTAAATAAAATGGATCATGAGGAATAACACCATAGTCATGGCTTTCTTGAAGCATCCCCTGGCAGGACATGCCTTTCTAAATGCTTTTCCAGGGAAGCTTCCATGTGGATTCCCTCTCATTTCACCTCTACTCTCCACATGTTATAAAAGCCAGGATGCTCCTCAGCCCTGCTTCTTTCCTACCTTCCTCTTTCAGCCCCTTTGCCCCTTTGGCAGGTAGAGAAAGAGGCCATCAGATAAGCAAGTTACTCCATTACCAATAATAGCGTTAGTGCTGCTTGATCAGATACATTGCTTTTGTTTTATGGAGTTCTTCATGCTTTAAGGGATTTTGTCTAATCTAAAATTCCTCCCTTGCCATCTCTCAATTTTGATGTGGTTAGAAGCTTCCTAAGAGGGCATGCTTGTCTCTTTATTTTGCAAATTCCCCAGTGGATCAGATGCGGTAAACCTGTTCTGTGTAAGAATTACATAACTACGGGCCAGATGAGTTTGCAATGTGTGTTGGCTCTTTATCAGTTGAACGCTTCATGCCTTTCCTATAATAATCTTACCTGATTTCCAATAATATTAATTATGCGCAGTATGTTCTGCTGAAAAGCTCTTCTGTGCAAATCACACATTTGGCAAATGCATTTTCTTTTGATCATCCAACGACTCTCAGATATTTTTATCCCGCATAACTTACTTTCAAAAGTATTCTTTGTGAGATGACAGAGCTTTTCATCGCTTTCATTTTGTCTCTCTCTCCCTTGCCCCCTCCTCCTACAATTTGTCTTACAAGGTCCAGACCTTTGCAGAAAGAATCGTTCTCTTTTTGCTGAACGGCATCATTTTTGGAATGCTAGAGAAGAATCTGAGTCACGATGAGCCGTTTTTGCCTCATTCCAAGAGGGAGTGTGCCAAAATCCTCTGGAGGAGTGGAGACGCGGCTGCCTTTTACACTGTCAAAGCGAAAGGTATGTTGATCTGAGCACAGACAACTTCCCCATCATTAAGTACATGTATGGAAAAAGAAATTGAACCATGTTTAAAATCCAGGTTTCTTATGCACACTGCAACCACAGTTTAGTGTGTGCTTTCGGAACATTTCTTTTGGCACTTTCTCTCTCCTCTTTAGCAGGTGATAGCTGTGCCCACTCCCTGGCTTGTCCCAGTGTCAGGTGATTGTTAGGCGATGGGCCTCTGCTGCAGAAACAATGAATCCTGATACAGGCAGCCGTGGTGTTTACCGAGTGACTCTGGACCATTGTTTGTGCTCCCGCAGCCTGCCTACACACTTGTTTTGAGGATGCGGTTGAGTGGAGGAGGACAATGAAGGCTGTCTGATGTTGCGTAGATCCAGGTTCTGGTTCCCCCCACTCCCAAAGCTCACTGGTTGCATTGGAGCCAGTCACTGACACTCTGCCTAGCCTACCTCACAGGGCGGTTGTGAGGCTGAAATGCAGAGAAGGAGAATCATGTTCACTGCCTTGGTCTCCTTGAAGGGGACGGAGAATATACATGCAGCAAATAAATTGCTAAAAATAAAATTGTGTCCTTTAAATGCCTTTAAGCAGAGGGCAGGTAGCTGTCTTCTGCACTGTCATAGAAACATAGAAATAGAGCGAGTCCGAAGGGGTCTTCTGGGCCATCTAGTCTGACCTCCAGCTCCAGCCATATCTGCTCATGACATGCCTACCATGTGCATGTCCAGCCTATCCTTGAACACCCTCACTGTTGGGGCTTCAGCCACCTCCCATGGAAGCCCATTCCGTACCCTAGGGATCCTAACTTCCTGGCATCCACCCTAAATCTTGGTTCCCTGAGCTTTGCTCCTTTGGAACACATCCTGCCCTCCACTACAGGGGAAAAATGGTCATGACCCACCTCTGCATGACACCCCCTCATGTACCTGTATGTCGCTAACAGATCCCCTTGGAGTCTCCTCCTCTCAAGGCTGAGAAGACGCAGCTCCCTCAGTCTCTCCCCGTATGGCTTCCCCTGCAAACCGACCACCATCCTCGTGGCCCTTCGCTGCACTGATTCCAACCTTGCTATATCCCTCTTGTAATGAGGGGCCCAGAATGGAACACAATACTCCAGTTGCGGGCGCACCAGAGTCGTATAGAGTGGCAGTAATTCCTCTCATGATCTAGAAGCCACACTTCTGGCTGCGTGTCAAGGGTTGATCTGTTGATCTTGTATCAAGCAGGAGCTTCAGTGTTCCTTCAAAGTCTAAAATTGTATGATTTCTGTGGCAGCAAACAGATCTTGGATAACATTGGCAGTGGTGAGTCAAAAGCCCACATGCGAGAGTCGCATAGCTGAGAGACGGCCTTCCACTTACATTGTGAAAGGCTGTTCAGAAGTAAAACAGATTATTACCAAAAACGCTGTAATTCTCAAGCATTTTCTCCTCAAATGAAAATCAGATTTGGGTCAGACCTCCTGCTGGGCATGTCTGTGACTCTTGCGGAAGTGATCCGTATTACAAAGCCATATGCTCTAATTCCTAGAGGCCTTTGCCTCACTTTTGATTCCAGGGTACTGAGTAAAAAAAGGCACCACCTGTGTCAAAGATGATATGCAGGTTAATGAATTCAGTGGTGAAATACAGATGCAGAATAGATACAGGCAAAAGAGCACTTACACTCCCCCTTTCCTGGATCTCCAAAGAGGCTGGAGATGCCAAAGTTGCTGGGCAAGCCACATGTCCTTTCCTTTTCCTGGCCGAGAACAAGTGGTAACACCCCTCGCCACGGATTTTATACATTTCCCTTTGGTACATAACCCACTCTAACTCCACTTCTTGGGAGATGTTAGACTCACTTTCCTGGTCAGTAAAGCTCTCTCAGGAAAGCAAACTGATTCATTCTCACAGCAAAAGCAGCTCTTATCTGCAGAATGGCTGGGAAGGCAGCTGCAAGGCTATTATGTGCAGTGCTGCTTCTAACAAGCTGAACTGTGAGGCATCGGCAGGGCTGCAAGAAACAATCCCAGCTTTTGGACCCTGAAAATGTTCACTGCTGGCTGAACATTAACAACCTCCTTGCCATATTTTGGTAGGGCCCACACAATGCACCATAACAATATTCCAGTGTGATCTTACTATATTGCACTCTTAATTTTTTTTAGTTTACAGTGTCTTTTACACTGAGAGCAATGGCTTATGACTAAGTATAGCTATAAATATGAATACATTATCAACCCTGGTCATGAAGTCACTCCCTATTTTAGGCAGAGGATTAGTGTGCTTGGCACGACTACTAGGGTAATGGTCAGTTTAATGGTTTACAGCAATAAGCACTTGGAGATGTTGAACCAATTGGCCAGAAATATAGAAAGTATCATTAGCTGTGAATCACGGGGGCGAGAAGGCATGAAGCATCCCTAAACTGCTCTGTTACCGTAGCGGTACTTGATGGCTTAAATTTTTTCCAAGGACTCGCTCAAGGTTTTCACAAAAGAGGGAGTCATTTTACAGTATTTGTGATATGCAAAATTAGATGCAGTCAGTTGGATGGAAACAGCAATCATTCAGATTCTGATATAGGAAGTTCCAGAGGGCTGAACTGGGAGATGCTGGCTGATCTTGAAAGCCCTGCAGGAATACGTCAAAACACGGGAGGCTGGAACGAAATCCTTCAGCATTGATTGCTCCTGCCTGGTTCCAGACAAGCAGCCTTATAGATACCCATCTGTGCTTATTCCCCGTGTTTGTGTCCCCTGGCAAGATAAAAGGGGGGGGGGTTGTGTAGCCCCTCACTGAGATGCCCGGACTCTAGTGCTGGGGTAGGCAAGGTGGTGCCTGCAGGAAAGAGTGCACCTCTGGACAGTGTTCCAGGTGTCTACTGGGGTGATTAACCCATGTCTTAACAGCAGCCAGGATTCCTGTGGAGTGGGCCTCTGCTGGTGCTGTGGTTCTCAAGCGACTTTTGGGGGTGCTGGGGTCGCCTGGGCAGGTGGCCTTTGCCATGCTTCCCACAACATCCATGGAAATGGAATGGTGGCTCCATGGATGGTTTCTCAAATGTGTGGGCCATTTATGCCTGTGGTCCAAAAAGCAGCCTACTCCTAGCTCAAGCAGTTCTTGTCAAGTCCCCGTCCCAGGTTGTTTGTCCTTCTGCAAAGCTTGGAGTTCTCCCTGGTCCTTCACTCTTGCACTGTTTTGAAGAGACCCTCTGGATGCATTTGCTGCAAGGCAAGGATCTGCAGGGAAATCTCTCTGCTTTTTATTTTCCCATTAACCCTTTTTATTTTCCCATTATTTTAATGTTTAGTTGGCCTCAAGTAGGGTTTTATCATGACTTCCTGGGTGCTGTGCTTGTTTTGTTTTGTTATTTTATTTACTCCTTATTATAAGACCTCCGGAGATGTCAGTGGTGGACGGGGTACAAAAGTTTAAATAATAAATAAATATTCTTCTAGAAAAATGCAGCTGGGGGCGCTGCTGTGCTCTAGAATAGGGGGCTTGGCCTAGGGGTCTCCTGGGGTCCTATCGTCGTCCAATGCAATCCTTTTCCTCCTCCTGATGCACACTTTTTTTTTTGCTAGCTTGGGATGTCTTAGAATCCAGTGAACACAGACTGTAGGCCACACCTTCCTTCAGTTTTATGTGAAGCTGGAGACGTTGCTGTCATTCTTGGATTTTGTGTAGGGGCGTTTGAGTGTGTGAACACAAGTCACACAATGGGTTGACTTTGGGCACCATTCAGAAGAAATGTCTGGCTGTTACACAAGGGCTCTGTCTGCAGAAGGTCCCTCTGGGAAAGCATCTGCCAAGCCGGCTTGTTAATCAGGGAAGCAGCTGGGATGTGCCACCGGGTTTGGTTTGGGTCTTTTAGATGTGGGGTGGAATGGGGTTGAGCTTTTCCTGGGTTTTTGGATGTTTGAGAGCGTTAATGGCTGTCTCCTTTCTCTGCCCTTGTAATTGCTGTTTACCATTCTGCTGGCTCGCTGGTTAGTAATTTAGCATGTGTGACTTAACCAAACAGATTAAAGGCTCTGAGAGCGCAGCCTGCACAAGGGAGTCCTTCTCCAGCGACATCCGTCTGCTTTCCTTGTCTTTGCTTCAGCCACAATGCCTGGTGCTTATACCAAAAGAACTACAGCGGCCTTTCCATGCGAGCCCCCTCCTCTCGCGCGTGCATGCCTGGGGGATGGCACCGAGCTGAGCCGGAAGCCCCGTCCCCGAGGCCAGCCGGTTCCTCCTGGCTGCAGGGCTGGCAGGGTTCTCGCTGGGTCGGCCTCCGTTCCTGACTTCAAGGAAGAACCAGGCGCGCCTAAGGCCTTTTCTTGTCGATGCCGCGCAGGCGATGGTATCCTGGCCAGTGGGCATGATCCTGCTTCCTGCTCGGGCATTCGCTGGCTGCATGTGGGGGGTGGGAGAATGCCCAGTGCATTGCAGCACCGTTGCTACTGGGGGAGGTGCTAGGAATGTCCGCAAAATAGCTGTGTTGCTCTTTTCGCGTTCTCTCCCAGGTGAAGGGGCAGAAATGACCTCTGTTGGCCGGATTTCTAAGGCTTAACTTAACCAGCTGTATACTTTGAGCACCCCCAAATCTCCAGCACAGTTTGGTTGTGTGGGAGTAGGCTTGATTTCTGGTGTTCGGAGCTCTTTCCCACAATGCGCCCATGCTGTGGCTGCATTCACACACAACATTAAGCTGTGGACACAGTTTCCTCTCTGGTTGAAGCTGCCAGACAATAATGTGTTTCCACCCCCTGCTTCAATCTTCCTGCCGGTGGTGTGTATCCCATCAGCCTCTGTGGCTGAAATTAATTCCAGGATGCGCCACTCCTGCTATACCTACCTCTTCTGCATTGGTCTACTTATAGAGGCAGGATGGCTAGAGTGACTGCTGCAGTTGCTGCTCTTTCCGCTGGACTCTATGGTAGCCACATGGAAACTTCCTTTTTGGGGTCAGATGACCAAAAAGCCATGGCAAAAAGTAGAAACCATACAGCAGACCGTTGTTTCCCTCCAGGGTTTCATGGAAACCAAGTGCATTGTGCAGTAAGTCCACAACAGGATTCAGACAGACCATCCCATGATGGAAACTCTGTGGCACGTCATGTGTGAACCCGGCCAGGATATTCACTGCCTTGCAGACAATGTGCTGTCAGCTGTCCCCACTGTTGGGAATCCTTGCTTGCCTGCTCTTCTATGACTGGCAAGTTTTACTCCTTCCCCTTATTAGCCTTCCTTCCCCTGCTACCTTCCCTTGGTCCCCTTCCACCAATTATTTGGCTATTTCTTGGTTTCCCCCACCCCAGGTGCTAATGCCAATTGGGTATGTTTGCAAAATCAGGAAAAGGTGCATAGGAGATTGCTGAAGTTAGTCACTCTTATATTTGGCTGAAGCCTATTTTAAGAATTCTAGGTGCCCTTGGCAAATGACTGGATGTCCAGGTGAACAGATATCTAAGAGGATTCCACCCCCCCTTCCGCCCCGAGCCCTGGTTACAGGAAAAGCCATAGGCCAGTGGTACAGCACACACTTGGCATACAGGTAGCCCTGGATTTAACGCTCAGCATTTCCCTGTGGGGTTGGGAATTGCCTGAAACCCTGGAAAGATGCTCCAGTCAGTAAGCAACAAGCTAGACCAGTGGAATGACACAGTGTACTTCTGTGAGGGGCACTCCACTTCTTCCAGCCGGAAGGTCAGATTCTGTTTTCGAGAAGCTCTTCTGGGCCATATGCCTTGTATGGCAGGAGTCGACCCATCTCTGCCTCTTGCCAGAAATTTGACCTTACGAGAGGCATTTCAGTCTTTAGCATTGAGGGGAACCATGAGGCCACCAAACTACTGGGGGAAAGCAGCAAGATGTTCAGGTGTGCTCATTCTTCGGCAGCGGGATTCTTCACTGTCATTGCTGGCTCTTTATCTTTCCAATCTCATAGCAAGCTTTTGCTAGGCTGTGCCAAGTGAACAAGCAAAAATGTAAGTGATTCCATACAATATTGATACACTGAAGGGTGGTAATGGTGAGGACACCATTCCATATAAGCCTCCCTGGGTTTGAAGACCTCCCAGCACCAGCACAATGCTGGCTGCCCTGAGCACCATTTCCTGGTAGAAATGCAGGGCATAAATACATTAAATATTGTACAATTCCCTCATAAGGTTATGGCAGACGCTGTAGCAAAAATTATTAGCTTCCCAAAGTGGATGGTGTCCCATGACCAGAGTCGGCCATCTTGGTTGGGCTGCCAGCCAGGACATGGTTTCTTGGTCGTGTGGCCTCCTGCTTTTCTTAGCCCCATCTGTGCACTCCAGTCTTGTGCGTAATTCAAGGGAAGCAAGTCCTGCCCAAAGAGGGCCTTCGTGCAGCTGGATTCTTCTGCATTGACTTGAATAACTGAATCACCCTTGCAAATGGAGCAGAAGAGATGCTATTCACAGGTGGGCATTGACTAAGAAGATGCTTGTCGGCTCACCTGAGTGCAAGATCAGGGAAAGAAACAGAAGTTCACTTCCCTGGGACCTCAGGTCCCCACCTGTGAAATGGAAGCCCAAATGAACCTCCCAGGCTCAACAACACACGCACGTCGTGTTGTGCGTTCTAGCTGGAGTTTCATTCCATTCTTGTTTTGCATGGTGCAGCAAATTCAAGAGGGTTGTCGAGCCCAAGGTGGGCCAGGAAGTGTGCCTTTGAGTGAGCCGTGTGGGTCTTTTAAGAGGATTGAAGGGGTCCGACTTGTGCATGTGAGGAAGAAGCATCTTCACAAGGCTGACAGGAAGGAGAAGAGTTGGTACGTTTTCTTGCTGGAAGGCGCCTATCATATATTGTATGCCCACGATTGCAAAAAGCAATCCAGTGTTGCTGTATGAAGTACGTTGCAGGCAAAGTGCTGATGTGATGCACTTAAAAGAGCGATTTGTTTGTTTGTAGCTTTTATATTCTGCCCTTCACAATGTCCCAGGGACTTACACTGATTTCTTTCCATTCGTTAAAGCTCAGGCTCAATGCGTAGGCTGGCAATGCACCGGGCACTAGTTCCACTTGTCCTCGCCTGGCAGTTGCCGCTTTGGCGCAGAAAAGGTTGCATGGGGGGAATGTTGGATGCCGCCTCCCCAAGGCCCATGGAGCACCTGTGAGCAGCAGTGCCCATGCCTTCACCGCTCCACCTGGACTTTCCCTCAGGAGCGGCTGAGCTGGCCAGTGGCAGTGGTGATCGGGCACGGGTGCTAGCTGTGTGTGCACCAGGGAAGGCACATGGGACTTGCGCTCAAGAGTGCACGCTTCCCCGCCCTAGACTTTTCCTCAAGAAAGGCAGTGTAAGGGAACTGGCTGCAAAAGGCCCTCTCTTTGCTGCTGCACCTGCCAGGTACATAGAATGTCAGCTGCTTGGCAAGGCACAGAGGCAGAGAAAGCTGGTGCACCTGCTTGCCCCTTGCCAGTTCTTGGCAACGTGTGCTGTGCAGGTAAGAGGAAAAAATTTTTGCATTTTTAACCCTTGATTCTCCAGCTGTTAGCTTTGAATGAACCAGTTGCATTCAGACCAGAGTTTTAACTGCATGGTTTTTGGTCTCAGCTTCTGGATCCACCAGGGACTCTTTCTCTTTTGTACATCTCAGCTGCCGTTCCTCATGTTTAAATGTGGGAACAGTAATGAGTGGTTAGAGCTGCTTTTAGCCCCGGACAGATGGGGGCAGACTCTCAGGCCTGAAGGCATGGAAGTGGCCCACTGGACGGAAGTCTTCATACCAAGGCATTTTATTTATTTATATTTATATTGTGATGTATATCCTGCCTTTTTCCTGCAAAGGGCTCAAGGCAGCTTACATCTCCTCCTCCATCTTATCCCCACAACAACAACCCTGTGAAGTAGGTTGGGCTGAGAGTCTGTGACTGGCCCAAAGTCACTCAGTTGGCTCCATGGCTGAGCGGGGACTAGAACCCAGATCCTCTGAGTCCCAGTCCCATGCTCTTAACCACTACACCACACTGGCTCTCCATTTCAGGCACTGGTGCGGTGGCATGTTTTGAAATGCGGGCATGCTTCACAGCAGTCCCCAAAGCAGGATGCAGAGGAAGCCCTGAATGGCAGGTGACTGTCTTGATCCACATTAGCAGCCAATTTCCAGCAGGCTCAGTGCTCAGCGGTGGCAGAACTGTGGTAGCACGGATGGGGCTTGGCCACAAAGTATTGGCCGAGGACAGAATTGCGGGGAACGTCCACCTGGCTTCCCAGCGGCTGTGAAGATGTTTGCGGAGCTCTGAAGGAACAGAGAAGCCCGAGGAGGGTGGCAAACGATGCTGACCTGTGGCCAGCCTCGTGCTGCCGCCCTGCAAGCCTGGCGTTGCGGCACCTCTGGGGGCATTTCCCCCGGTCCCCGAGTCCTAACTAGGCCCTTGGGCTGCCGTTCACTGCTCCTCTCCTGTCTGGAAGGCGACCTTTTAGCAGAGCTCAGTCTCCTTCTTGGCCCACTTCCACACATCCCCTCGACTCTTTGGGGGAGCTTCTGGTGTGGTGACCCTCCTCCTCTTGCTTGGGATGGGGAACCATGGAGGAGGTTCTCAGCATTCAGTCCCCAATCATCCGGATTTATGAACGGCCAGACCTGCCCTCTGAAGACTGGCGTCAAGGCCTGGTTGGGCACCCCTTGAGGTCCCACACCCCAGGGGGGGCCTTCTGACACCCCCCCCCCCGGAACTGTGCCTCCTCTGCCACCGCAGTAGGTTTCTTCAGCCCTCCCTCCCCCTCGTGCAGGTGGGGCGGAATGGGGAGGGGGCACACGGAGCCTACGGCCTTGCTGGCTCTTGTCTAGCAAATGGGGGGCCGCAGCAATGGGGGTGGCGGGGGCTGGTGATGGGCACTGCAAGGGCCTCCTTGGAGGGTCCCAGCACCCAGCACTGTTCCTGCAGTGCCGTGGATGGGCTGAGTCACTTCGCCAGCGCACTGCAGCCTGCAGAGTGCAGCGGAGCGGCGCCTGGTCCCAGCCCGCTGGTCTCCGCAAGGACCCTCCGGAGCAGGGTAGGGGCAGAGGAACGCTTGCCATCCAGGGAGCCCCCTCGTCAAGGGGTCCTTTCATCCAAGCTGCTGGTTTCCTGCCTGCTGCTTCATCCTGATTTTAATCAGTTCATTCATGGGCACTGTTTAGAGTTCCGTGTAATTACAGGCAATTTTGTGTTCTGCTTCCAGGAAGCTTGTGTGACGGGCACAGCAGCCAGTGCTACTTGCTCCCAGTTTTGGACACAGTGTTTGTCCGGAAAAAGTTCAGAAGACGTGGACTTGGAACGAAAATGCTTCATGATTTTTGTCAGACGTTTGCCGCAGAGGAGGCCTTGGGGCTCAGCCACCCCATTTCTGCAGGCATGTATCAAGGTAAAGGCCTCTGTTTAGAAACAGAAACACTAAAGAGGAGCGTTCAACCTCCAGCCTGAGGGTCCAGTGCAACCCGCCCAGCTGTGCGGGTCTCCCAACTGGCCCCATCCTTTTCTGCAACCACCAATCGCTTGATGAGTTCTGCCGTTTTCTTCCCAGGTCACAAGGTTCAAGGGCTTCTCCTGGCAAGAGACTTCAGCTGAGATAGGCTGGCCTCTCCAGTGTTTTGGCTCCACTGCCTTTGGCGATTGGACCTGTCCCTCACTGGCCCCCTAAGAGTTGCTCTGAAATTGAATTTCCCCTCTGGCTGACAGTCAACACTCCTCTTCTAAAGGATCGCAAACTTACAGGCCACAGCTGCTGCTCAGCTGTGGAGCGTGTGCTTTGCTTGCCAGGCACCCCAGGCACAATCCCTTGGATAGCCAGGTTCTTCCTGGAGCCCTGCAGGGCAGTTGCTGGACAGGTAGCAAATGTCCATCTGGACAGACCAGTGCCCTGACTGAAGAGGAGCCTGCCTCCTCGGCGTGCAAAGGCTCCACCACACGCGCCTTTGGTGGTGTGAGAAGTGCAGTGCTTTCTTCCGGTTACCAGCCCTTCAAGGGCTCCCTGCTCCTGCTGGCTGCCATGGGAAGCTTTCCTTCCCTCTGGCAGATGCAGAAGAAAAGACGGAGCCATGTGGAAGCTCAGCACCTTCAAATAATGTGCAGATGTGGTGGGAGCAAACACAGAGAAGCAAACTCAGTAGGTATGTTCACCTCTGGGATGCTGAACTCACACACAGTGGTCTTCAGGTCAGCCTTCCCCAGCTGTGGACTGCAGGTCTCATAATCCCCAGCCAGCAGGGCACCTAAAGGGCCCAAGTTGGGGAAGGCTGCCTTAGGTGTGCATCTAAAAACATACCTGTTGTCAGAGAGCTGAGTTGCTCCCTCCGGAGCATGCATTCCTCCTCCCCTTCTTTATTTATTAATTATTTGCTTGACTTCCCTTCAAGCCTATTTATTTTATTTATATTATTGATTTTATTTCTTATTTCAGTAGCTGGGCAGTGTGCAACAGCATGTAAAATGCAGTAAAAATACAACAGAAGATACATATAGCAACAAAAACACCAGAAAATTTCACTCTGAAATGTAAAGCACTAATTTCAAAATGGGATTTAAACAACTTCAATAACTAAGACGAGTTAAAGCAAGAGGACCTGGTAAAGAGCTGACATCGAATGTTAGCTAAGATCAGATGTACCATTTAAAACTGCAGTGCCTTGGCATAGAGGCCCATCTCAAGCCGGCCCTGAAAGGGAGCCAGGTGGGCCTCAATGTGGAGCTCATTCCACAACTGGGGGGCTCCCACTAAAAAGGCCCCGCTCCTTGTTGACGCCAACTGAGCCTCCCCTGGGGGTGCCACTCTGAGGAAGGCCCTCAGTATTGATTATAGAACCTGGGTAGACTGCAGTGGGCAGGTGCTATGATCCCAAGGCATGGAGGGCTTTATAGAATTCGGCTCAGAAGCATATAGGCAGCCAGTGCAAGCAGGACAGAATTGAAGTTGTGTGTCTAGACCCGCCGGGCCCAGTTGTTGTTGTATTGCATGTACATTGCACCTGTTTCCCTCTTCCACCTTTTCCAAGGTGGCTTATATAGCCCCATGGTTATCCTCTGTGAGGTAGGTTAGGCTGAGACCCTGCGAGTAGCCCAGAGTCACCCCGTGAGCATCGTGGCCCACTGCCGACAAGAGCCCGGCTGCCACATTTTGCATAAGCTGACATTTCTGAACAGTCTCCAAGGGCAGCCCCACACAGAGTTCATTGCAGTAAACCAGCTTAGAGAATGCCAGAGCTCAGATCACTGAAATCAGGCTACTCCTGTCCAGGGAGGGGCATAGCCAGGCCGCCAGCCAAGGTTGGTGGAGAGCATTCTAGAAAGCCATGGAGGCCCCCTGAGCTTCAAGTGGCAAAGATGGTTTGAGGAGCACCTCAGGCTACCCCGGGGGCAGGCTGTCCTATCCCGAACAGGTTTGGACTCTCTTCATTCAAATGGTTGGAAACATCCCTTAATTCTTCCAAGTGGTAAAACACAGCAGTTCTGTGTTTCCTCATCTTCTACCCGGCTTGAATTACTCCCTCTTCAAGTCTGCCTCAGCAAAGTGGACTCTTCTTCATGGCGCATGTGTTTAGGTTCTATCTTAAACATTACTTTTCTGATGAAAAAGAGCTATTTTAAGTAATGGACCAAGCTTCTAAAATGCACCGTTTGGCACAAACTGAAAGAAAGGCGTCTTGCGATGGAGCTTGGATGACTGGAGCCCTAGCGTATGTTTAAGTGTGAAATAAATGCATGAACACAGGGGTGTTGGTTGTTCCTGGGCTTTAATCTCCACTGTGTTATCTTTAATCAAAGTAGCACAATCTTCCTTAGCTTGTCCTGGTTGAAGCTGGTGTGATGTGAGGCCAAGCCTATTGAGTGACTTCTCATTATAAACAGCTGTGCAGTGTCTTTTTAGGCAAACCATTAATTTTTTTAAGGCCCTGGACAGTGTCGTAAAGAAAAACCCAGCACTGAACGGAAGACATAAATCAGTTTTTTCCCCTTGACAGGAGTCTTCACTGGTTTCCAAATGTTGTTATAGAAGACATTGTTACGCAAGCAACTTTAGATGTCCCAAGCTAATCTTCATCGCAACATGTTCTTCCAGGCTGCTACAAATATACTAATGCACATAAGCCTGCGCCAAGTTGTTGTGCAAGGGCCCATTTCATAAATAAAGCAGTCAATCCCCGCTCCCCCGATATAAATACATGTCCAGACCGTCCCTGGCTTTGCCATCTCTTGAGCCTGCCTAGCTATCACGCCTGGTAGAATCTCCATAAATTATCTGATGCACAATCATAGGTGCAATCCGGAACTGTCTTTAGGATCTTCTCCTAGCAATTATCCCAAGGCATCAGGGCAGGACTTTGGGGCAGAAGTCTAGGGGACCCACTAAGCGAGTAAAGATGAGAACCTGTAAACACACCAAGCCTGAAGTACGTACAGTTCGAGAATCCAAAATGACTTAACTGCACCACTAAGTAGGAGGCAGTAGCAATTAGGAGGATTGTAACAAATGGGCTACTCGTTCCTTACTTAAATGATTTCAAGTTTCGCTGACCCTCTCACCTGTTTTGCAAAATGTGTCGTGGACACTGTGAATTGAGCATCATCAACAATAGCCTTATTGTTTTCAGTGTGTGCAGTGCCCAGCATGAGCTGAAGTACTTCAAAGATAGGTAATAATAGAGATAGTTACTGGAAGGAATCTTAAGACCTTCTTGATGGCAACATTTGGTGGAATTTGTTGTTGGATTCACCCTGCACTGCTTGGCTTTCCTATAGTTTGTCGAAAGTTCTTGGAGACACATCCTGAAGAGCAGTCACGGCTGTGGGAAGTAGAGGCACCCGGGGACTGGAGCCAGCGGGTTAATATCTGGCTAAAGATTCAACTGGAACAAAATCTTGCAAAAAGTAAGTTGAAGAGCGACTACATAAGCTTTTCTCGGTTCTCTGTAAGCAGAGCAGCCAAATGCAACATAAGAAGGGGGTCTTTGGGCTGGTATTTAAGAAGTGTGTTAGCTCCTGGAAAGAGAAACACAGAAACAGAGCAAGTCAGAAGGGTCCTCCTGGACCACCTAGTCTGACCCCCAGCTCCACTGTGAGACCAGAACGCTGGAGGAGGGAGGTGTCTGGTTAGGCATGGCTCTTATAACCCTGTGCAGAAAGGGGTAGAAACATAGAAACAGAATGAGTCAGACCCCTGGCTCCAGCCGGCTCCGCTCACGACATGCCCACCATGTGCATGTCCAGCCTATCCTTGAACACCCTCACCGATGGGGCCCCAACCACCTCCCGTGGAAGCCCATTCCATACCTTAGGGGTCCTAACTGTCAGGAAGTGCTTCCTGGCATCCAAATGGAACCTTGGCTCCCTGAGCTTTGCTCCATTGGAGCGTGTCCTGCCTTCCTCTGCAGGGGGAAAAGGTCTCTACCCATCTCCATGTGACATCCCCTCACATACCTGTATGTCACCAACATATCCCCTTTGAGTCTCCTCTTCTCCAGGCTGAAGAGACCAAGTTCCCTCAGTCTTGCCTCATACGGCATCCTCTGCAAACCGGCCTCCAACCTTGTGGCCCTACGCTGCACTGACTCCAGCCTGGCTATATCCTTTCTGTAATGAGGGGCCCAAAACTGAGCACAATACTCCAGTTGCAGGCACACCAGAGTCATATAGAGTGGTAGTAACACCTCTCTTGATCTAGAAGCCACACTTCTGGCTATGCAACCAAGGGTGGTGTTCACCCTCTTGACCACTGCTGACTCATGTTCATCCTGCAGTCAGCCAGTACCCCGAGGTCCCTTTCACAAGTGCAGCCACTTGTCACCTAACCTGTACTATGACACCCATTCCTAAGCCTCAAGTGCAAGACCTTGCACTTATCCACATTGAACGCCATCCTGTTGTCTCCTGCCCACTTCCATAGTCTGTTCAAATCCTTCTGGATCTGAAGTACCTGCCCCTCAGTTGTGGCCACCACCCCCATTTTAGTATTGCCTGAGAATTTGATCAGCAGACTCTTCACCCCCTCACCTGGTACCATTCCAATGTTTCTCCACTAATAATTACCCTCTGCTTTCGGTCCATCCACCATGCGCTGATCCATCGTGCAGTGCCTCGGTCTATCGCAAAATTCCTCCTTTTCTCAACCAGGATATCATGTGGCGCTTGCTGAAATCCAAGCAAACCACACCACTGCACCCCCTCCCTCTCGCCACCTTAACACCGTGCCATGGAATTCTGCAAGGTTCATCTGGCAGGAAATGAGGAACCGCCTTCTGCCCTGCCCTGGCGGTGCCACTGGGCCGGTCCAGAGCGCAGATAATAAGGTGCCCTGAGATCACGCGGCGATCTCTCTCTCATCTAGCTTCCGATCCTTATTTCCAGTGCCACCCCTTGTCTGTGCGGTTTCTCCTGACAGAGCTGCAGGATCAGGACCAGCAGCCCAGCCGATGGAGCAGGGCCAAACCAGACACAACGTTATTCACGCAATTAGCAGTTGCACTGTTGTTATCAGCGGTACTGGTAGTAGCAATCCACACACAATACACTCAGAATGCTCCAAGTTTCATGTAAAGAGCATAAGCAGCGTGCTTGATTTTTCCTCATGTCCTGCCTTCTCCAGAAAAGGGCGACTTCATGCCCAAGACCTGCCAGACCGGCTCTCCCATGAGCCTGCCATGCTATTCAGGGGAAGTGAAGAGCAGAGAGGGAGAGCCTGAAGTGGGCTGGGCTCCCGGTGCCTGCTGGTTACTTGGAAAGAAAACCCAAACCCGAAGCAAAGCAGGACAGCCGCTCGCCCGGTTATCGATTGCATGGCTGGTGTCGGGTCCCATTTGGCCAAAACGGAGGGGGCACACCTAAGACTTGACTCACAGGGAGACCAACCATGTGCCTTGCCTCAGGGGAGGGCACACGGAACCTGCCCTCTTCCACAGCCTCCCTAGTCGCAGGACTCAAAAGGCAAGCCTCGCGTGCACGTCTTTGCCTCTAGCTGCCACATGGAGGCTTAGCCGGCCTGCAGCTTCTCCCTCCGGGAAAGACTGGTGCCTCCCTTTGCCTCTTCCTGGCTCTACAGCAACAGATGCCCCTTGTCTGAAGTCCCAGCTCTTTGGGTGGCCATCCTCTCGGAGCCCATGTCCACGGAGCAGCCTGCCCAGCTCCTCAGAACTTGGGGCTTCTTCGTTGCCTCCACGCAAGATGTTGCAGCCTGCAGCCCTCCTGTCTCTTTCTGATAAATGGCTCCAGGCTCCCCGCCAAGGCAAGCGGGGCAGGTCGCCGCCTTCTGGTGTGGCGTGCCACCATCCCCCTCCTCTTTCCAGGCCTGCTTCCCCACCTCCCTGCCTCTGGCTCCATCCCAGGTCTTCACAGCCCCTGGGTCACGGCAAAGGCCACTCTGCCCCAGCCGGGCTCGCCTAGCCTCACTGATCTGAGCCCCTTTCAGGCCCTCATTTCACTGGCGTCGTGCCCAGGGGCCGAGATGCTTCCAGTGAGAGCACGAGGACGGCCTGCCCCGGTGAGTCATGGCGGCCTGTTCCACCCACAGGGGCCTGCCCCGTGCCTTTCGTGCTGGCCGTCGCAGAGCACAATCCTGGGCACCCTGCTCCGGAGAAAGGCCCCTTGAGTTCGCTGGTGCTTACACCAGGTGGGTGCTTAGGTAGGGATGCAGTCTTGGCTTGTGCTTAGAAGTCTACCCTGGTTTTGATATGGTTAAAATGGGGGGAGCCGGGGACAGCGCTGGCTTTTATTGAATTTACCCTGATCCATAATCAGCCTTGCGGGTGCCAGTCCTTTTTCTTAGGCCCCCTAGTCTGAACTGCAGTTTATCACAATTGATGCAGCCAGCAGAAATAGCCAGCAGGGACGGCTTTGGCCCAGGGCTCTGCACACTTTGCTCCTCTTCTGAGTCACCATAACTTCTGGTGCTTCCACTTTAAAGGTAAATCACGCATTGGACCCTCTGGGAAACTGTCTGGATACAGCTTCTGCATCATAATCACCAATGATACTTGCTGTTCTCAACTATTGTTATGGGTGTGATTAAAGAACAGTGCCTCCGGATGGGTGCATCTTTATTTTTTCTTCGCTTTTTTCAGCTCAGAGGGGACAGTTCCAGTAATATTTTTCAGCCCATTAGGCTGGTCTATCTGAAGTGGGTAGTTGATGGATCCTCTGCCTCTGCTTTATGTTTCCTGTGATCTGCGAAGCCCCTTCAGAATTATATGCAAATACCGTACAGTGTCAAAGAGACAACTATGAGACACTGCATGCCTTTTCTCATGGCTTAGATCCTGCTGGCTCGTTTCATTTGATGCCTTCAGGTGGTGCAGAAGACCCATTTGCTGTTAAAGCACAAAAACAAGGGACAAAACTCTCACGCCTTTCTTGGGCAAGGCAATGTTTGTACTCCTCAATTACTTCAAGGGGACTAACCATCAGGTTGAGCCATGCTGAATTTAATCTGGACAGCTCCCCTAAGATGCCTAGCACAGTTCATCTCATTGAATTATCCTTGTGGGATAGGATCTTCTCTTAAATATGGTCAAGTTTAATCTTCGGTGGGACCAGCGGGACAGCTTCTGTGATCAAAAGCCCACAACTTGATTGCATGCTTTGAGGACTGAGTGATATTCTTGATGTGAAGTTGTGTAGGGACTCCAGTGTAAAAGCCTTCCCCATCTCTACAAACTTCGATGTAGTTTCCCATGTTGTGGTGCTAGCTTCACCTAGTGTTGGACTTCTAAAATTGCATGCCAGAGAGAATATGGAAAGTAATAGTCTTGAAAGGCAGCCTGAACACATTTCATAAAACCATAGAATCCTAGAATAGTGGAGTTGGAAGGGGCCATGAAGGCCATTGAGTCCAACCCCCTGCTGTTGCAGGACACCAGGTTACACCATCCCACTCAGCTGGCTGTCCAGTTTCTTTTTGAATTTATTGAGAATTAAGGTGCTTTGTAGGAAATGGGACTTATTCCCCAGCATAAGTGCCTAGAACCACAACTTTTCTGTCCAAGAATGTCTGGGGTTACAATCCACTGAATGTTCAGTAATGTGCCATTAATCCTAGCAAATTGTTATACAATATAATCCAACGATTCACCATTAATATTAATTCTAGCTTAAATGTCTTTCTGCTGCAGAAAATAGAACAATTATTTCTTTTCATGCAATCCCAGTGAAACAGTGTTAGGATTATATATCCAAACAAAAACCTATCTGAAGGTGGTGTTTATATGTCACAAATTCAAATGTTGAAAGCATTATAGGATTGATTTTTTTAATCCTTCCTTTGTTGTAGTATCAGTCCTTTAGCTCTCAAAAGAGCATGGATAATCAATTTCCACTGACCATTTTTTCATTTCCATAAAGCAGGTAGATAAACTAAGAGCTTGTACCTGAGTAAAAATTAAATAATGCTCCTCTGCAAAGTTTATCCATATAATAACCTCTTCCCAAAAGGAAGCAAACACTAGACATTGGCAAAACATCTAGCTGCATTGCAGTAACAGAAATTATTCAAATTAGAGATGATCTTGTGTCCATAAAACAAGCCTATATTTAATATGATACAGTCTAAGATCAAGAGACAGAAAGGTGGAGCAAAGCAGCCTTCCACTAGCCAGGCAAAATGGAACAGTCTATTTCCCTCTTCCATGCCTGCTTAAAGTCCTGTATATTATTATATTAGCCCGTAATAAATATCCATAGACATCAACCAGCCTCCAATCCAGGAGCCAGCCGTGACCGCCATTCCGCTCCCCTTCTTCTGGTTTTCTGCATGACCCAGAACACACTTAATGACTCAGTGTTCTGAAGTCACTGAGTGGATAAATCAGTCCCTGGGATGCTTTCCCCCCTCCTGCTTCTTGCCTTATTAGGCTTTTTGTATTTGCAGATATTAAGTCTGCTGTGTATTGGCATTGCGGTTTTGGCCACACGAGGACCACCACTTAACCTGCCCCATCTCCAAATAATACTAGTAGATGTAGTGATAAAAGAAACACAAATAGCAGTCAATAAAAACAATCAGAAAGGCCATAAAAACAGCAGAAGTAGAATTCAGAGATTGACTTGGAAAATAGAAATGGCATCTCTGAGGAACACAGGGAATTGTGCTCCATGCTCTCCAGGGCTTCAGCCCAGGATCTTCCCCAAATTCATCTGGAAATGCCATGGATTGACCCTCCGATCTTGTGCATGCAAGTAACAAGCCTTCCCTCGGGAAACAGCCCCAACCCTTCTCTGGCCTTTCATCTGGAAGACGACAATATTGGTCTTTAATGACTCTCTCTAAACACTGCTGGGAATCTCGTTCCCCAGTCATGACCCACCTTCTCTTCAGGGGAAGAGGTTCCTTTGGGGGAAAATAGTTGTCTGAATCGGCCGGGCTTGAAAGGACAAAGAAGGCACCAAGAATGGTGTCCTTCTCCCAGGCAATACATTTGCTTTAAAGCTGCAATGAATTGCTTGGAAGTTAATTCAGTGGGAATGTTCAACTCATTGGCAAGCCTAAATGCAAGGAATGGGCTGGGTCATCAGATGTGATTTTCGTTGCATGGATGCAACCTGCAGCGTGTCTCTTAAAAGTAAAATAAACACACGCGTTGCTGTGAATGAGCTATTCACGTTCTTTCCTTTGTGATTTTTCTCTTGCGATTCTATTCCTGTAGAGGTGAATCTGACCTGTGAGGTGGGAAGTACTCAAGATGATGAAGGAGAGCTGAAAAAGGTACCTGGATGAATTGGCCACTTTGTAACCCGGCTCTTCTGAACCGTGGCGGTCCTCATCGTTTGGGCTGGAGGTCTGAGCAGAGGAGTTTGTGGACACCAGTAAGAGCTGGCGTCTTGGTTTCAGGCCACGGATTTATACGGCTACTTGGTAAACTTGGTTAACGAAGGACTATTGTAGTTGGGCTGAAATCCCTGTCATTTTAGCTGAGCTACTAGAGCAATACACGAAATATGTTCATTTTTTGTTGACAAGGAAATATATGCAGGTTTCAAAGTTGGGAATTAAATATAACATGGACTTCCTTGCCATTTACTTCCCAGCCGTGAGAAGAAAGACTATCCCAGTTAGTGTTTTTTTAAATGTTTTGTTTTTAAAAGTTTGTATTTTGTACAAGATTTTGGTATTTCATGGTACTATTCTTATGATCTGTTGTGAACCACCCAAACAGCTCTGAGCATTGGGCAGAGATGAAACAAACAGTGCCTAAATGCATGGCTGGGGGGTGCGTCTGTCTAAGGCTGGAGGGCACAGTGGCCCTCACTGCTTCTTCTGAGGCCAGAAGACCTTGGTGGGCATGGCTGTGCCCGGTGACCCTGTTTTCCATCCCCCTGGGCAATGTCGCCTTTTTCTGTGTTGCCCTGAGCATGGGCACAGAGGAAGGAGCTGGAAGGAGCCGGCTGAACCAGGTACCTCCTCTGCATGCCTAAGAAGCACTGGGAGGAGCCACTTTGGCAAAGCCGGGCAAGGAGGTTCTGCAGGTTGGAGGCTGCACATGCCTGACCTGTGGCCAAGGAAAACGAAGGTCTTGGAGTATGCGGGCATTCAGGCGTGGGTTGTCCTGCCGCTCGTGGCCTGTACTTTGTTCATAATGCATGTATTTGGGACAGTGGTGGAACACAGGGCAAATGCACCTGGGGTCCCAGGTGGACTCCCATTCCAGCACTGATTGGATGTAAGGCTGCTTAGCTTCAGCAGCATGGCCTCATCCTCTGCCTTCAGACTACGGCCCGGGCTCTTCCAAGTGTGTATCTCTAATGTAGGGATCTGTGCCTGCTTGATTTCAGAAGGTTGGCCGCATTCCTGATACTGGGACATCCCCAGATGCAGCAGAGATATTCTGTGATGATCCTGAATTGGTGTCTGGCCAACAGCCTCACGGTGGAGAAGATGTTGTTCAACATGAGGCTGAAGCACAGCAACACAAAGAATTAAAGAAAAAGGCAAACAGGGAGGAGCCAGTGGAAGGCAGCGTTCCTAAGCGTGTTAGAACCATGTCCTAACTTCAGGAACTAACAAAAGCCATCAAGACCAAGATGCGACCCGAGGTGGCGCAATAGCTTGAGCTGCTGAACAGTTCCTGATTCAAGCCTTCCTGCAGCAATAGATGGACGGAGATGGGGGCTTCCTCCTGTAGCTTGCCTTGCAGGCCTTTTGCAAGGACTCCTTCGCCAATGCCCGTGAAGTCTTTGATACACTTCATATGATGGACGTTATTAGCTGCTCGCTAGACAGAATTTCTTGCTTTTTCTTCTGAGAATGATGGGCATGATGAGTCATAAAATAAACTGTTCTGCTATTGAAAATGTTTTACATGATGTTCTCTGCCTCTGTCCCTGTGAAATTCTAGAGGACAGCTTATTTGTCTTTCTGGATATAATAAATCATAGATGGAAGGGGGCTTGGAGAACCATCAGCAATGGCGCATGTTGTGATAGCATCCTGATTATTGGCCATTGAGCATTTACTTCAATACTTCCAGCAGATCTTACCACCTCCTGAAGTGGCCCATTCCACTGCAGAACATCTGCACTGTTAGCAAGTTTCTCCTAATGTTTGACTTCCCCCAAATCTGCAGTTCTATTAGTTCTAGTCCTGTCCTCTGGAGCAGCACAGAACAATTTCTGCACAACAGCCTTTATGCCCTTGGAACACTGCTGCAGTCATGTCTCCCCTTAATCTTCACGTGAAACCTGCCTGTTCTTTCAGCCGCTCCTTGTAGGACTTGATTGCCAGGCCCCTTGGTCACATTTCTCTGGACATGCTCCAATTTGCTGTGGACTGGCTAGTGCAGAGCAGAGCTGGAGCTACTGGCTCCTTTTCTTCTTTTAGTTTCCAAAGGCGGCCATAAGAACATAAGAAGAACCATGCTGGAGTGGATCAAAGTCCCATCTAGCTGAGCATGGCATCCACACAGGGGCTAACCAGATGTCTACAGGTAGCCCATAAGCCGGACATGAATGGAGTAGCATTCTCCTGCCCATGTTCCTGAGCAGCTGGTGTACATGGGCACACTTCCTCTGATGTTTTGCTGGGCTGGGAACTTGGGAAACCTCATTTGTAGTCCCCACTCAGCCAGGATGCTCCCTGGGTGACTCTGGGCCAGTCAGAGACTCAGTCTAACCCACCTCACAGGGTGGTTGTTCCGAGTTGGCTTGGGTTCCTCACAAGAAGAAAAACGTGGAATACAAATGTAATGTAAACTTAATAATAAAGAGCGAGTGTGGTTCCGTGCTTAAGAGCACGGGACTGGGACTCAGATGATCTGGGTTCTGGTCTCCACTTGGCCGTGGAGCCCACTGGGTGACTCTGGGCCAGGCACAGACCTGTTTCACAGGCTTGTTGTTGTGGGGATAAGACTGAGACCAGGAGGAGGAGTATGATGTAAGCTGCTTTGAGTTTGTTAGAAGAAACAAGTGGGCTATAAATTAAATAAATAATATTGACTAATAGCCATTGATTGCCTTATCTGATCTCCCTTTCAAAGTCATCTTGTTGCAGCAAATTCCATAGTTTGTGTACTCCGTTCAGAACTTCTTAATTGTCCTGAATCTCCATTCTGCATCATGGGTTGCCCCTGGTACTACTTTTATGAAAGGGAGAAAAGTTCTCCCTATCCAATTTCTGCACACCATTCAGAATTTTGTATACCTCTATTTTGTTCCTTTTATTTCACACCCCATCTACATGCTTTTAGATATTTTCAAAAAACTGCAAAAGGTTAATATTAGAATCATGTAATAGTGAAGTTGGAAGAGGCCAGAGAGCCATTGGGTCCAGCCACCCACACAGGGTTAAGCCATCCCGCTTGGATGGCCGTCCAGTAAGAACAGCTGCCTTGTACGAAGCAGCCCTGCTCAGCCTATTGGTGCCAAAAGCAAATTCTTCAGTGCTGAGGCAGAAGTCAGAATAAACCCTTTTTATTGCAGCCATTCCAATAATTAGTAATTCAGATATTAGCATTACCGTCCTGGAAAAGATCCATGCTCAACTGGGAGCAAAGAGCCAGCCATCCCTGGATCCAGCACTGGAAGACCCACATCCCAACAAGCTCCCCGAGAAAGCGGGGATCTTTGCAGGGCACTACTATGCCGATGCTGGGCAGAATCTATTGCTGATTTTTCTGGTGGGAGATAGAGGAGAAAAATCACCATGGGCAGCCAGACCTGGCTGGGGGAACTGGGCCTCAGGTGGTTGCCCTTTCTCATTTGCGACGGTGGCACCCCAAAGCACCCTCTCCCACAGAGCCTCCTTCCTGCTGCCTCGCTTCCAAGGAAGATTTCCCCCCTGGGGCAGAAGTAGGCCCTCCATTAAGGCCCAGTCACTCAGTTGCTGGGGATGGAACATGCCAGCGTCTTGTATCCCACCTCCTCCTGCCAGTGGGAGGGCTGGTACAAATGAGTTTTCAGGTCTCTGGTTTCCTGAGGCTTTGTGCCACTCTGCAGTTCCCTCCTCTGGCATGGCATCCTTGCCACTGGCTGTAACTCCTCCCTGACCAGGGCAAGGTCTCACAGTATGCCTGCTTGAACTGTCAGGAGCAGGGCGTCCTCTGCAGTGGCCCCAGAATCTGGAATGCATTTCCTTGGGAAGCTAGTTGTCATCTTCCTTTCTTTTTGGAAGCAAGTGAACCATTTCATTCTACCATGCTTTGAGGACATGCATGTTCGTTTGTTTACTTAAATATTTGGCAAGTGGTCATATTTGCATGCTTGTTTTCCTCTATGTGTGAAGCTGCGTTTAGATTTTAATTGCTGTTGCTTTATGTAAGCAGGCTTGAGAACTTCAGTATGCAAACAGAATGTAATTACTGTAAATGAAGAAGCAAGTACAGCATTTCTTTTCTTGCCTGGAGGAGAGCTGTGCCTCTACCATTTTGAAATGTTTTCACTTCTTGGTTTGTGTTTGTGTTCTCAGAGAACTCCTATCCATGTTGCTCAAGTTTCATTATGTGCACACGCATGTGCATTAATGGTGCGCTTTAGGAAAGGAGAGTCGTTTGGTGTTTCAGTCATCTGTCTGCAGGTGATTTCGACATGCTGCTTTGGCCTGTTTTGCAACGTGCTGTCTTGCATGCATGCGTTTTCATGCTGATGTTATGTTTTGTTGCCACCACGAGATGGTGCTGCCACACTGCTTAATACCAGCAGCCGTACCCTGGAGACTGGAGCGCCAAAGGTGCAAGCATGCACTTCCGTACCTCTGCCAAAAAGTTAAGAAAAATACAAGGAAAGCCTGTCTCCGATATTTACCATTCAGATCCAGTTTACTTCCACGAGGCTTTGACTACCAAAGGGTTTGTACTTTGGGAACCTCAGGTGAAATTGCAGGTGTTTTCTGCATACAGAGTTGGTGTAAATGATATCCAGATGGAAAATAGGTTAACAGGTTTTCATGCCAGCTATCCACAGAGATTTCTGAGGTCCCTGATCACAGGTGTTTAATTTTTACATGTGCTTTCGATTATTTCTATCGGATTTTCTTGCAGGTATTAATTTGACCCCACCCCTCCCAGGGACTGGCTTGTCATGTTGTGTTGTGCTGTGCAAAGTGGGATGTGTATGTCTTAGCAATAGAAATGTCATGGAGTTCTGCATTTCCTGGCTCAAAAATGTGATGCCCACCAGAATACAGGTGTGGCCAGGGAACCTTAACGATCTCCTTGGGGCTTGAGCTGAAATGGTTAGTGTCAAGGACGTGGGCACAAGCAAAAAAGGATGAAGTCTTAAGCTATCTAATGCACAATGGAACTGGGCCGGTCACAGTTTGGGCACATCATGAGAAGGCAGGACTCAGTGAAGAAGACAGTGATACTAGGGAAAGGCAAAGGCAGGAGAAGAGGAAGACCAGCTATGAGAGGGTGCCATCATGGAAGCCACGGTCTTGAGCTGAGCAGGGCTGTGAAGGACAGGGTAGTTTGGAGGGCACTAATTCTCATGAAGAGTGTCTTCCTAAGTTGGAGACGACTTGATGACACACAACAGCAACAAACAATGCAGCTCAACCAGCCGTGTAGTTTGGTTTTCAACTCTTGGGAAGGAAACAAAAATCAGTGAGATGTTTCCAAGAGAACTCTGAATATAATTGTCATGGAAGTCTTACCAAAAGAGAACTTTAGCAGAGCTTTAACAGAATTGTCATCTTCTTCTACAGCATTTCCAGATGTTGGTGCTCATATTTTAACAAGATATCTCTAATGCCCCATCTCTATTTGGCTGGGCAGATCATATTCAAAAGTAGCTATGCTATGCTATGCTAGTTGCAAAGTCACGTCCGACCCATCGCGACCCCATGGACAACACTCCTCCAGGCCCTCCTGTCCTCCACCATCCCCTGGAGTCCACTTGAGCTCACGCCGACTGCTTCAGTGACTCCATCCAGCCACCTCATCCTGTGCCGTCCCCTTCTTCTTTTGCCGTCAATCATTCCCAGCATTAGGCTCTTTTCCAGGGAGTCCTTCAAAAGTAGAGAAAGCAACAATTAGTATAATTTTCTATTAAGAGATGAAAGGCACAACCTACACCTGTTTAGACAGAAAAAGGCCTACAACTTGCAGCATAGCTTAGCTGGGGAATGCTGGAAACTAGGCATTTTCTGCATAAACAGCCATAGGATTGTGCCCAAAAAAGGAACAACGCAACATGTAGAAGGTCAGTACTTGGGGGATGCAGCTTTATGTATTTATGTTTTTAAAATATACATTTAAATCAGTGTTAAGAATGTGTTTTAATATAAAATATTTTGAGCGCAATGATACCAAAGTATAATGGAAGGGGCCGTTTAACCAAAAGGCACCTTGGACTAGAAAACCCCTCAACAGATTTCCAAGACAAGCTGAAGAAAGTGCCGAGTGGCCTTCCGGCGGTTCCCTGATTCTCAGGCATCGATGGGGAAACCCTGGTGCAGAGGGAATCCAGCCACATTACAGAGGGGCACCGTCTGGTGCATGCAGAAGGTCCTCCATTCCGTTCCTGGCATCTCCACTTAGATCTAGGAGAGGGCCCTGTCCTGAAGCCCTGGAGAACTTCTGCCAGTCAGTTCCAAGCATTCCTAAAGTGGATGAACCAGTGGGCTGAGGTAGCATAAGCCACTGGAATGTATTTATTAAGTTTGCACCCCACATTTCCCCTGAGGCTGGTACTCAGGAGCCATGTCTTTTCCCTTTGAGCCTCACAGCAGCACTGCGAAGGAGGCCCGGGTCCCCAGTGAGCGCCATGGCCGAGGCCAGACAAGAGTGCAGATCACCGGAGGCCCAGGCAGTGCTCCAGCTGCTGTGCCACAGTGGCTGTACGAAAATGGCCCCGGAGTCCGTGCTCGACTTGCCTTCGGGGAAGTTTGGTTTCCAGATCTTGGCAGCAAACATCTTAAGCTGCTGAACTAGTCCTTTGTGTGCTTTTTCAGGG